AATAAAAGTTATTTTAGATTCTATCACACAAACACACACTGTAGATGTCTATATAAGGCTACTCTCTCCTACACTGCTGATGGCAGGGACTTCCTTAAGGGGGTATGACAAAGCCTCTAAAGATCTTCTGATTCCCTGCCAGATGAGATTGCCAAGGTCAGCAGCTTTCCATTTCATGAGATTTCAGAGCCAAAGCGAGGGACTAAAGGATGGTGACATCACGGGCATAGATCTTTCAACAGTAGTTGGAAAATTGTGTGTATATTTCTTAGAAAATGAGGCAGCTCTTTGTCTGAAAACCTGTTTATGCAGCTATGCAATGTAAGGCTGATAATGCCATCAGCTGCAGAAATTTTTTGGAAGTAAAACATTTCTCAGCCCTCCTGAAGAGCCAGAGCATTGGTTGCCTTTTAATGTGGGGAGGCTGTTGGGTGTTGCAAAAGTTGGGCAGTTAATTTCCAGAAATAGCCCCTGCTAGTAAAATAATCCTGCAAGCAGCAATTTCTGGCAATTTAAACCCCTCCTCCTGATCTTAAGCCCCCAGTGGCTTTCCAGTAATGAAAAGATTACCATGGAATCCATTGCATTTTCAGGGTGGGAAGAATTGGAAATGTTTTATTTACAAAAAAAAATCACCAAAACTTATGTCATCAACTGTATATGGTGGAGCTGTCCCCACCACGTGCTCCTTGAAAATGTGAATTTCACCTTTTAGGTAGCTAATCAGTCTAAAAATGAATCAGGTACTATTTGAAGACTTCTAGCTTAATAATAGAATCATATAAGTCTCAAATAAATGTACAGGAGAAAATATATGGAATTTATGTTAATGAGATGGAAGGAACCATAAGTTGGCTAATTATAGATGGTGCTGTATTGGAAGGCATTGTTTCTTCATCGTGGTGTCTGTGTATGTACATATAGGGGTTCTGCGCCTGTGCAGACCTTGCTCCAGAAAGTTCTAGAGCCTCAAAATGAAAGTGCCTCTTTGCCTATACTACACATGTACAGCACCATTTTCCTCACTCCTTTTTTGTCCACGACTGTAACAGCATGCAAAAGACTTCTCCAGAGCCTCCACCTCACTTACTGTCATCTCAATAAGTTTTCTGTCTTTCATTTTTCTTCCTCTTGCTTCCTTTCTTCTTTTACCTTAAAAAGGAGGGGAATGGGAGAGAGATATTTATTTAGGTAGAGTTAGAGGCGACCCCCTCCCTTGTGGCTCCTTTTCCCCCAACAATTTATTGCTGCTGCTTTGATGCAAAAGTATGTCACTTGTGGCAAGAACATCACACTATAGGACAAAAACAACATTTCTCTTTTTTGCCTGGGAGAAACCCACTTAGCTCAATCTTGCAGAATTCACAAGTTTCATGGCTCTTGCACTTAAGACTCAGCAGTCTCAACTCTGATCTTTTCTCTGGGAACGATCTCTTTGAGCTATGGATCCCCCTACTAAGGCCAATCCCACCCTGCAAATGGACCAGAGAACTCTAATGGGAAAATCCCTGGAACCCAAGCCTGCTCCCTCATCTTCCTCGAAAGCATCTTCAAAGTTGACAAAGAAATCAGAGCATGGTGCTCGAAAGCAAAAGTCAGCATCCACTGCCAAGGTGATGAGAAGAAAGAAAAAGCAACAGGCCCCTGCCGCCAGTGTGGTTGTGGCTACCTCAGATCCTTAGCTTCCTGTCCACAAGCCTGCCTGTGCTCCTATTGCCCCCACCCAATACACGGACTTGGTTTGAGAGGGTGAATGCTTGAGCCCCTACGTGCAGTGTGTCTTCATCTCATAAAGACCACCCTCTCCTCTACAAGAGCAGTCCTCACTGCCACCATTGGAAGGTGGAGGAATGTCAAGATCAAGGTCCCTCTCCCTTACCCAGCAGTCTCCGCAACTGAGACAACACTACAGGGGGGCTGGAAGACCCATTGTGAGATTGATCTCATATTGCTACCAACCATGCTACTTGTGGTCCCCTTCAGCAGGCCCCTGGTATCATGATGACCCTTATTATGCTCCTTTCTTCTGACCCCCTTGCTTCATGTATGGAGAAATGAAATGGCCATCCCAATCATATAGAAGTTGATTCCGATCCCACAACTGAAGCAAGTCCTGCTTGCATACCTGCACCCACCCTTGATCTCAGGGGTCCTGCTCTAACAACCCACAAGGATGCTTTCTCCAACAACATGACTCCCGTTCCCATTGGGACTCTTGAAATCAATCTCAGTCTCCACACTGATCCACCACTTTGTGTTTCCCATGTGGACAATACCGACAACTGGGATCACCCCAGTCATCATCTCCAGCTTTGGCTCTTCAACCGGTGTTGTTCCCCAGCTCTTCTACACACTCCCGATACTTATGTCTCTCTTACCTTGTGGTTAGTGCATGATTCCCATTGTCTGCTGACAACACACTCAGATCCTCTTGAAGATCCATGCTTTGAGAACAGCTCCACCGATTCTGAGGGAGAAGAGGGTAAGAGCTCTCTTCCTGCATCTAGATCCTCACCCACTTCTGATTTCCAGGATGACACTCCACTCTCACCTTCAGAAGTCCTCTCTTCTTATAATGACCTAATGGAGAGAATGGCAAAATCATTGCCTTTACCTGTCTTCAAACCGGTACTACCAGCAAAGGATGTCATCTTTGTTTGCATCCATAAAAAGGCAAACATCCCTGTTGCTCAAGCCTTTGACAGACCTCATCAACCAGTCTTGGCAAAGACTCTCCTCAATTCCACCAACATCTCGCAGAATCAAAAACTTCTAGGGAGTCCAACAGGACAAGGCTAAGTTCCTGTTCAAACATCCCACAACAATTTCCATCATTGTACAGACCACCCAGATGAGCTCTAAGGGCTCCTTGTGTGACAACCCAAACAAGAAGGAGAGCTGCAAACTTGACCTACTGGCTCAAAAAAGTTACTTATTAGTGGTGCTTCACATGAGTATTGCTAACTACCAGGCCATGATGGGTGCCTACCACAAGTTTATATGGAAAAAGTTTCAAAACCTTATTTCAGCTTTGCCACAAGATAAAAAATCTCTGGCTATCTCATTTCAGCAGAAAGCCTATGCTCTCACAGGACAATAAATTCACCCTGCCCAACATGTTTTAGTCTGCAAAGCTAAGAGTATTTCAGCAAGCATCACCTTATGCCACCATGCATGGCTATGCTCCACTGGCCTTCCAGACAACTCTAAATCTTGCATAGAAGACCTCCCACTTGATGGAGATGGCCTCTTTAATGACAAAACCAATGGTTTCATGCAAGACCTGCACAAAAAGAAGACAGATGCAAGGAAAATGTGTTTCAATTCATGCCACTCAACCACCTCTCAGTTCTACCCTCACTGGAAGTGGTCCATGCTGTAATCAAACTACAAATCTCCATTGGAGCATTCCAGGGCATCTGACAAATCCAACCAACAACACTTTACTCCTGCCTCTTCTGCTAAATAAAAGCAGACCACTCTCCCCAAAAACACAGACATCAAATACAGGCAACAGTTTTGATATATCCCAGCCCAGGCTCAACACTTTCATCATCTATCCACTGTCTTCTACATCAACAACAGACGTACGGTTGGCAAAATTTATGGGATTCCATCACCTCAAACATACGGGTTCTAAACGTGATAGCCCATGGGTATGACATCAGATTTCCATCCCTTCCACCCACAGGTTGTATCTGCCACACCACCTCCCTCCCTGCCATTCAGTTGGAAATTCACCTCTTGAGGAAAAAAAGCCATCTCAAGAGTGTCTCTCCATTGAGCCATCTTCTTCTCCCAGTAAATTACTGTGCCAAAAAAGGATGGAGAACTATGTCCCATCCAGGATCTACATACCTAAAACAGATTCATTGCCCGAAAACATTTCCAGACGGTAACAATACAGTTCATTCTCCCTCTCCTCCAACAAGGAAACTGGTTTGTGTCCATAGACCTCCATGACACAGATGTCCATATCTTAGGTCAACCACAACATCATCACTTCCTCAGCTTCTTCATCGACCAACAGACCTATCACTTCTGCGCACTACCCTTTGGACTCTCCAAAGCCCCAAGGCTATTCACAAAATGCATGGCACCAGTTGCTGCCATCCTCAGAACCTGTGGTATTGCTGTCTTTCCCTACATCAGTGATTGGATTCTGGTGGTATATGACAGGGTCACTCTACATGCCAAGATTTCATTTACCCTTTGCCTACTCTCAAGCCTTGGGCTGCAAGTCAACGAGACCAAGTCACATCTTGTTCCATCTTAGACTACCCAGTACATAACAGCACTCCTAGATGCTAGAAGCACCCAAGCTTGCCTACCTGAACCATGTGTAGACAGCATCATCTGCTGCACATAAAAACTAATTCAGACTCAACACACCTCAGTCCATTCTGTTCAATGAATATTGGGACTTATGGTCTCCACCATGTCCGTCCAGCCCACTCTTGACTGAGGATGTGACTGCTACAATCCTTTTACCTTCTTGCCTACAATGACAAGAAAGACCTTCCAAACAAAAGGCTGTTTCTCTCGCCACACCTCAAGAGAGAACTACTATCGTGGATGAAAGACCATCATCTCCAACTTGGTGTCCCATTTCTACAACTGCATCCCTCCCATCTCATACTTACAGACACAAGCATGACAGGATGCTTATCATATCATTTTCCTCAAGCTTCTAGCCATTTTCAAGGCCCTCTGGACTTTCAAAAATTTAATTCAAGGTCACATGGATCAGATCACCAACAACAACACCAGGGAGGTGTTGTCAGTGCTGTATTACCTCAACAAGCAAGGAGGAAGTCAATTCCTGAGCCTCCTAAACCTTTGAAGGTATGTGAATGGTGCATTTGCCACCAAATCATCCCTGTGGCAATCCATGTCTCTAGCATGGACACAATGGCAGAACACCTCAGCTGGAAAATGGCACACACACACAAATGGGAACTTTCTCAAAAAATATACACCCAACTGATCTCTCACTGGGCTGAGCCTGCTGTGGACATGTTTCCCAGTGCCACCAATTCCAAATGTGCCCGCTACTGCTCCCATGCAAGCAAAAGACCAAACTTATTGGGTAATGCCTTCACCATGACTTGGATGCCCCCCTTCCACTGATTCAGAGCATGAGTGTGAAAATCATACATGATTGCTCAGATGCAATTCTTCTCACCCTATGATGGCCACGCTTCTTGCAGTGATCGGCAGCTTTCAGTTGCCCCTACACCACAACCTTCTCTTCTGCCACAATGGCACAGTTCTTCACCCAGATAACTCTCACCTGAAACTCACCACCTGGAGGATATCCCTCTCATCACAAGCATTTTGAAACAGACTAGATGCCCTTCCACAGACAGACTCTATGGCTATAAGTGGGAGCATTTTCAGTGCTGTGTTGCAAAATGTAACCTCCAGGATTCTCCTACATCTCTGCCCATGGTTCTTACCGTCCTACGACACCTCAAACAAGAAGGACTTTCTAACTTCTCTGTCAAAGTTTACTTTGCCACTATCGTCACTCACCAGCCAACAGGTGATCCCTCTGCATGGTTCTTCAGACATCACTGTCAAAAATTTCCTGTAGGGACTTCACAATGACTACCCATATACGCGACTTCCATAGGACCCTGGTCCCTAACACTAGTTCTTTCCCAGTTTACCAAGCCTCCCTTTGAACCCCTGGCTACAATGGATTTCCACCTTCTGTCTCTCAAGATTACACTCTTGCTGGCACTCACATCAGCATGTCGAGCTGCAAAGATTGTGGCTCTTAAAAGTGACTCACCCTCCATCATTTTCTCCTACAACAAGGTCACTTTCCACACTCACATTACCTTCCTCCCCAAGCTAGTGTCCCATTTTCACATTCTCAACCTATCATTTCTGTCCATCTCCACAGAACAACCTGGAAAAATTCCTCCACTCCTTGAATGTCCAAAGAGCACTGGCCTTCTACCTAGATGGAATGAAAGACTGTAGACAAACGACCAAGCTTTTTGTCTCCTACCAAGGTCCCAAAAAGGGCAATTTATTTCTTCCCAACATTTCTCCAAATGGATCTTCCTAGCTGTGGCTTTGCCCTATGAACTTGCAAACAAATCCCCTTCTCGGGCTTTCCACAGCCACGCTAAACAGAGGACTCTTCCCCCTCTACTGCTTTTATGCAAGGTATAAACAATCCAGGACATCTGTCAGGCAGCCACATGGTCCCCACCCTTTCTCCCAGACTGTAGATGGGATCTCAGGGCTCAGAAAGATTCTACTTTTGTTAGAGTGGCTCTATGCTTTGTCCCAGCGTAACTGCCACCTCCAAACTCTAGCTTGCTAATCACCCCTATGTGTGCATACATGGACACCACAATGAAGAAGATTTGGTTACTTATGTAACTATGGTTCTTTGAGTGGTGACCCATGTATCCACACATCCCACCCACCTCCCCTCTTGTTCTGCCCTTCCAATTTTTTTTCTAGCAGCAGACAGTTGGGACTGAGAAAAGTGGGACCACACACACATGGTATAGGCAGAGAGGAACTTTCATTTTTGAGGCTCTGGAACTTTCTGAAGTGAGGTCTGTCCAGGCGCAGAACCTTTATATGTGGATACATGGATCACCACTCAAAGAACCATAGTTACTTATGTAACCATATCTTTTACCAAGATTGATCAGGAAATGACGCAGCAAGAATTCCAGAGATGAAATGTGTGCTCATGCGTGCATGCACACACACAGACACACACAGACACACACAGACACACAGACACAGACACACACACACACACCACACAGACAGACAGAGAGAGAGAGAGAGTCAAACTGAGTAGTAAGAAGTGTAGTCATTCTATCTGGGAACAAACAATAAGCATTTCTGTTACTTTGCAAGTCAGTGTTTCAATAACAGTTGCAAGTGACTGAGGAGGAAAATGATTACAAAAAAACAAATTCAATATGGCAATATGTTTCATCAGCAACTTTTTTGAAAAATGAGTCCTTGAATGTATTCAAGAGGGTTGCTGTCAGAAACAGTTCCCAACAACTGCCTGGAAGAGTTCATGAGGTTATGAACTGCTTTTTCCATTAAACACCATTAAACAGAATATCCAAGGTGACTTATAAAATTATGGAAATAGCATTTACATTCCATATAGGCATACAATATCTTTTTTTAAGCCACAGTTGTTGATGTTGTTCATAGCTTGTGAAATTCCATCTGAAAGTTAGCCATGTATTCTCACCTCATTCCAAAATCTGTAAGTCATAGATGACAGTGCATGATCAATCTTGTATCTTGTGTGTACATGGGTTTTAGATACTTTACAAATAGAAGTAGAAGCAGCACTTTGTCCCCTTTTTGAATCAGAATAAAGTTTCCATACCACATTTAAAATACATTGAAGTAATTAATGGATAAGATCAAAACTTAATTCCATCCATCCTCCTAATTTTCAATTCTGCCACAGAGGAGAGCATTAAGGACAGCTTCTGAAAAACTCAGGAACCGTTCCTCTTTTTCTACAAACCTTGTGTACAACACTCCTGGAACTCGAGTGAACAGATACATTGGCCGTTTAATAGAGGCCCGTCAAACAGAGTCAGAAATGGCAGACCTACATTTTTTTACCTTGAGGTATAAACAGATTGAACGTGAGCAAAAAGTAAGTGAAACTTTTAATAACTTCATCAGGTAAAGAAATGATTGAGTGCAACTTTGTAATTCATATTCTCTGTACCTAAATCTTGGCTATACTGTCCAAGAATTCATCACCAAAATTGTGGCTCAGTTAAGACGTTACTGTAAATCCTGGTTTAGGGTTAGGAAATGAACAAGATTAACCCTTTGGACTTGTATTTTCAAACTCTTCCTATCTTTTCCCTTCACATGCAGTGGATATTTAAACCATATGTCTATGGTTATAATGAACCCAAACTTCTGTCTGAATGTGCCACCAGCTTTTTCTTTGAAGGGTTGCATATCTGCAGGAGATTGTCTCCAGGTATTCTTTTTCTTGAGTGAGAAATTCATTCAGTTTTTATTTCAGTGTGAATATAACAAAGTTTGCACTTCACAAACCCCAGTAAATAATATATTGCAGTTTGCCCTTGAATTCCACGTATTTCCAAAATCGCTGATGTGCTTCATACTAAAGAGTACTAAAAATGGATACATTAAAAATGGGATATTTTAAAAGCACACTGTACAACTCTGTCCACTGGAAAATTGCTTGAAAAACTCATATCTTTGAAAAAGTATGCACAAATATGTATGCATTGATAAACATGTACAACACAACTTTTTTTTCTTAAATTGTGGAGAAAAATGAACAGTTGCAGCTATTTTATACAGATTTTTAGAAGTCGTATTCTGATCTGGAATGGGTAAAGAAGGGACTGAGGTCTAAATCCAGTTGTCAGTTCTACCCATTGAATCAATGTGAACTTAATAAGTCAAAACATACCTACATTTCATTGCTCCAGTGGATCTCTTCAAGTTTAGAATAACATTGGATTTAGGTCTTATATTGGAAAAGTAAGAACTTGTACAAAATCACACTTGGAAGATTGTTCCATTCATGTGCAAACATGATTTGAGTCTAGCTGTTATCTTGATAGGGTCAAGGCTGATAAGAACACAGAACCTTCTTGGTAGTTGTAATAATTCCTTGGAACTCTCTTTGTACAGGAAAATCCACCTTATAAAATCTTTTTACTCTTTTTATCTTACTGTTAGGATTTTGTTCTTCTTAAAGAGTTTTACCTGAAATGTCACACATGCTTTCATTGCAACTATTGAGTTTTTGTATCTATTTCTTATGTTTGGTGTTATTTTAATTTTTTTCTTTATTGCACATATGCATATTTTCAGTATAAAAGTGTTTCATAACTGAACTGTGATAGTTTTTTCATGAATGAAAAAACAGCTTCTGCTGTTGTGTCATTGGACTCACTGTATCTCAAAAGCTTCACACAGAGAGAATCTCGCCTCATTTGTATAGGTGTGTGTACAAAAATGCTTACACGTATTTCAGGCATTAATTTATTTAACATGAGTGATTGAAATTTTTCTTTAAAAATAGGAAAAGACTTTTGAGAATTTGAAAAATGCCACCAGATATACAATTTTTATAATTTTAGGTTTTGCAATGAATGTATAATTGTACTATGGAAACTTCATAGGAAGGAATTGATCTTTGTTTCTCTTGTTCTCATAGGTGACAATGAAATTTTCTCACCACTGGGTGAGATCATACAACTTTTTCTTGTAATGTTTAAATTTGGGGCCTTTTTGTGAAAGACAGAAAAATTTTGTAATTTGCCCAAAACCTTTGTATTTTGTGCAAAATTCAGAATTTTTAAGACAAAATACAAAGGCTAGTGTCTTGCTGCCTAAACACACAATGGAAGGAAAACCACATAAATGTCACCCCTCCCCACTCCAAAGTTCCTTGTCACATGCCCATTCTTCACTAGTTACATGGTTGGTCATACAACGGGTCACATAATAGGAAGCCTGTTGGGACATGGGAGGCACTTGTATAATTTCACCTCTACTTCCTGTCTAGAGAACAGTATTAGCCAGTGTTGTGCAGAATCTACAAAACAACTTTTTGTGCTAATGTTGCTACTGACAAAATGCAAAACCTGCAAGGGAGCAAAATATTTCCTGCAGTATTGAACTTTTTTTTAATATCAAGGATAGGAAAAACTGTGAACACTTATTCAATCTATTCGCGAAGGCTTTCACGGCCGGGATTTAATGGTTGTTGTGGGTTTTTCGGGCTTCTTGGCCGTGTTCTGAAGGTGGTTCTTCCTAACGTTTTGCCAGTCTCTGTGNTCAACAACTTATTCAATCCTTGCATCATAGGTACGGCAATTACAGAGATAAGATTGTTTGACAGGCCTTATCATCTACTTCCTTCTCTCTTTGTTTTTTGCACCCAACTCTGTATATCCTAAGCATAGTAGGGATAGTTAATTAATGGGGAAAACTGTAAGAGAAAAAAATTGATTTTGTATAAATGCAAATCTTGAATAATCTGTTTACAGTTCACCAAGCCCATTCAATATTCTTACATATTATGACATTTTATTTATTTATTTATTTATTTATTTATTTATTTATTTATTTTTTTATTTATTTATTTATTTATTTATTTATTTATGTATTTATTTATTTATTTATTGGCTTACAACATAAAAATACACAATACAAGTATATATAAGACAATTTTTACAGAGTAAAACATACCAAGTTAGCCAAGTTTATCAAGTTTATATTAAATGCAAGATAAATTCTTATTAGGACAATTAGATATTGGGGTTTTTTGCCACTATTTGGTTTTCATATCATAACTGAAAGGGGGGGGATCAGCCTTTATTAATACCAGTCACTGAGATTTGGATGATTTAAAATACTGAGGAAGATGGTTTTGTAAGCCCATGACTGTTCTATTATTACTTTCAGTAGCCTTCAGAGAAACTCCAAAACCAATGTCAGTTCTTCTCCTTCTTTTTAAGACACACGTGAGATGGGGAACTGGAGGATTATGCTGGCTTCAGAAATACTTTGGAGCCTATAGTCAGGCACTGTCTTTTCCTGCCCTTTTGCTGATTCTGGAAATAGTCTATTAAAAAGACAAAAATGTTGTGGCACTTCAAAGATTAACTGTTATATTTTAAAAGCTCACATTAAAATATAACAGGCTTTAACGTGCCATAGGGTTTTTGTCTTTTGTCTTTTGTTTTTTCTTCCCTTTGGGTTTTGCCTGATTTGCTTGCACAGACTAACATGGCTACCTCTTTAAGAAGGATGCCAATAAACTGGAAAAAGTTCAGAGGAGGGCAGAAAAGGATGATCCGGGGGCTCAAAACCAAGCCCTATGAGGAAATACTTGAAGAATTGGGCATATTTAGTTTTGAGAAGAGAGGGCTGAGGGGAGGTATGATATCAGTTTTAAAAGACTTGTATACAGTAGGAGTCATACAGAGGAGGAGCAGGATCTATTCTCACAAGGGAGTCATACAGAGGAGGAGCAGGACCTATTCTCAGTCATCCCAGAGTGCAGGACATGTACTAATGGGTTTAAACTACAAGAAGCTAGGTTTATGCTGAATATCAGGAAAAACCTCTCAAATGTTGGAGCAGTATGACAATGGAACCAATTACCTCAGGAGGTGGTGAGAATTCCAACACTGGTGGTATTTAAGAGAAAAATTGACAATAATTTTTCAGATCTATTTTAATTTGCATCCCTGCATTGAGCAGGGGGCTGGAGTCGATGGCCCAATTATTGGAAGCTAGATTTATGCTGAATATCAGGAAAAACCTCTCAAATGTTGGAGCAGTATGACAATGGAACCAATTACCTCAGGAGGTGGTGAGAATTCCAACACTGGTGGTATTTAAGAGAAAAATTGACAATAATTTTTCAGATCTATTTTAATTTGCATCCCTGCATTGAGCAGGGGGCTGGAGTCGATGGCCCAATTATTCTATGATTCTAAAACTGCAAATATTCTGAAGCCATGTGCTTGCCAAGGCCAAGCTGCTGTTCATACTGTATATTTAAATGTAGAATTTATGTGCTTTAGATACAGGGAATATAATAGGAATGAGTAAGTAACTGCCATTATGTGTCTTTTCTCCCTCTTCTCATTCACAGTATCATCAGCTTCAGGATGAATATTTCACCAGTGCTGTAGTCTTGTCGCTGATTCTAGCTGCCTTATTTGGCCTTGTCTATCTTTTAATAATCCCACAGTAAGTGGTTTTGCCCCCACCATCTAATATTATATGCATTGGTTGTTGTGGGTTTTTTGGGCTCTTTGGCCGTGTTCTGAAGGTTGTTCTTCCTAACGTTTTGCCAGTCTCTGTGGCCGGCATCTTCAGAGGACAGCACTACAATATGCATTGTAGATTTCTACTGAAGGATCTCAGTTTTGGGAAAGTTTTGGCTTTCTTAACAGCTTTACTATGAGGCACTGAAATGGGGGACAATCTAAGAGAGAATTTGTGCTCTTGTGAGACTTTGTTCATTTCTGTAAATAAATAAAATGTAGAACCACAAAGACTACTTTCTTGCTCCTTCTGAAAGAAAGCACAACAGAAGGAGAGAGACACTGGATGGATTGTTTCCTTCTTTCTCAACAGTTTGTCCTTGTATGCTTCCTTTGTATGTGTGATTAGCTTCACAAAGATAAGGCATTAGAGATATCTTGAAAATTGTACAAACCATGATAGTAAAAAAGTGCTTATCCTGGTTTTGTGCTGAAGAAAGATTCTCAGGAAATGAAAGGTTTCAACTGCTCACCCCTGGGCTGGTCTTCTGGTCTAGTCTTAATCCTTGGCATCAGCTAATCATCCAAGGGTCTCTCTTTCAAACTATGTTTCCATTAATGCATATTCTGTAATGATGCCTGTATCTAGAGTTGGCATCACTACAGGGCTGAAAAGGACAAATATCACCAAAAAGGAGGACAAGGATTGACAAGAGAGGACCTAATTAAAAGACATAGGGAAACCACCACAGTAGACACTTGATCCCAATAATAGGAGGATGTGATGGCCATACATCAGAACAATATTTGAAGCATCAAACTCAGTAAAATTTACTCTTTCGTTGATTTTTAATGCCCTACAACAAGCCTGAACAGGATACAATAGCGAAGAACAGCAATTTCTGAGTTGGATAAACTGACCACATGTACAACACCCTTGTAACTAGATGAGGCAGATGCAGCAAGTCACAGTACATCCTTAGAACAACATTCAAGTACCCATTATGGGCAGAAAATGAATACTGCACAAAATAGCCTGGAATGGTGACATCCAGATAGGACAGCCAAACAAAATCCACAGCACATCCAATTAGAGGAAACTAATGCATTAAGCGTGGAAAAAACATTCTGATATTCATTCCAGAGAGAAAATAGACATCATGCAATACAGCCTGGAATGGTGACTTATGAGTAGAACAGCCCAACAAAATTCACCTACCCCATCTGACCAGAAGAGACTGATGTAACCACTTATAAAATGTACCCAGAAGCAACATTCCAGTACCCATTCTGGGCAGAAAACTGGTATTACACAAAATAGCCTAGAACACAGACGTACAAGAAATACACCCAGTGAAATTCAGCAAAATGAAGAAGGACATTTCTCTGATGCTGGAGAGTTTTATCATACCATAAATTCACATTCAGTTTCACTAACAGAGAAAGGTCTCTCCTTCCGAACAAGCATGCAACCATATTTTTTGCTCTTAGGAGCAAAACGCATTCCATAAGACAAATAAAAAAATAGGGATGTACAAAACAAAAATTATAACCACAAATCCAGACCTCAGATCAGCACCACATTTGACACAGATGTAGCAGAACCTCTGCTCTTGCTCTGTGTTGAATCTGGGGTTGTTTTGGCAAAGGGTTTTTGAGTTATGGTATTTTAAACATAATACTGTTTCACCTCTGTACACAAGCAAGCGTCTTTCAGCTACAGTTGATGGAATATAGATAAAGTACATGGATAAGACCTGCATGCCTGGGGGGGGGACACATACACTTTTTAAAGGTATATTTTTCTTTCATGATGATTGGGTTTGTCGGGGCTCTAATTCAGACCCTTTAATTAGTGCTTTTAAAGCCCTGAAACTTCTGGATGCTGCCTGCTGCCTTTTTAAAATAACTCCCCAGAACTCTAAAAGAACTATTAGCATAGCATAGCATTCTGGCCAATCAGAATGTATCTGGATGCAGCCATGCTAATACAGGGTAGGTGTCAGAATGCATTCAGTATGAAAGAAAGCATTTAACTCGTTCCTGGCCACTAATTTTTAGCTCCTGCCTGTGAAAATATTTTAAAATATATTTTTTAAAAATAGGTAATAATATTCAGTACCTCACTCATTTAAGCTGTGAAATCACTGGGTTTTTCTATGTTGCTGGAGTTTATTTCAAAGCAAGTTTTTTTACTCAATTTACTCATGTGTAAGTTTACCTGGTTTACTCATGCGTACATTTACCCAGTTTACTCATAAGTTTACAGATCCATATGATTTTAGATGTAATCCTCCCTAAACCACTGTCACATCAGATCCCATTTGAATCCAAAGACTACATCACAAAATCTATGAGTCCTTCAGCACATGGTGCTGCAGTGACACAAAAACATGAATCCGAATTGCAGATCTTTGTGGATCCATGTGATTTTTCTTCAGGTTCATCCCAAAATCACTGTCCAGTCATAGGCCCCTTCTCTGCACACATACTAAAGCACAGAAATTGTGGCTTTGCAGTGGTGCAAAAACACCAATCGAAGGAATGGATAACATCCACCATTACCACCACCTTAGAACCTCAGAGATGGAAGGGACCCTATGGACTATCATGTCCAGCCCCTGACAAAGCAGCACAGTGGGGAATTGAGCTCCCAACCTCAGAGACTTAAATCACTGAGCTATCTAAGAGTTCTTTGAGCCACATGATTTTTACATAAGATCATCCCAAACTACTACCCAATCATAGGGCCCATCAGTGCCACATAGGTAGTCCCAGTGTATGGTTTTGCAGTGGTGCAAAAACATGGATCCGATTCATAGATGTTCATGGATCTGTGTGATTTTAATTGGGGTAATCCCAGTTGGGATAACCACTGTCAAGTCATAGGCCTCCATTTGTGCTCACAGATTACAATGCAGATCATGACTGCAGACACATTCTGGTTTGTCACAATGCTATGCTATGCAAATAGTTCAGTCATTTAGAATGTTCACATTTCCATGCTGTATGTGCATGGTATGTGCATGGCAGGATAGACTCAGGTTCCTCAATTTTTGCTCAAGTGAGAGCTCAGGCTTGACTTGATTGAGCACCCACTTTCCTGCTTTTCTACCAACATTACATTTATAAAGAACTATTAGCATAGCATTATCTACACACACACACACCACTCCACGAGATTCTTGTACCTGACCAAATTTCTGGGGCAAACATAGTGTCACAGGATTTCCAGCAGAAATCATATTTAACAGTCTCCTTTCTTTCTGCCTCAGTCATATCATGTGCTTGATAGAGACTTGTCAAGCTGCCTCCTTTCTCTGGAGCAGGATGAAAAATTAATCCAAAGAAAATAGTGTGTGATATCTTTATTAGCTCACTGAAAATTCACATACAAAGCTAGCTGTAGTCAACCCTTTCCCTCAGATTGAATAAAAGGATGACATGGTTCCCCCCCCTGTAGAAAAAACAAACTGCTTCATTTCATCCTATATATGTGCTTAGCCCATCTGAGCTCCCATTTAAACACGTCTATATAAATGAAATCATGAAGAAACAACAAGTTGTTGCCAACCAATTATCTATTGTCATCTCTTTTTTCTATTTGTTTGTTTGTTTGTTTGTAACAGGTGTTGCTTAGGACACTACCTTGATACCATTGCTAATTAAAATTTCATGGTTCAGAATTACAAGAGTTTGCAGAGGACCTGTGGGTCATTTTGGCCAGTGTGTGTTGTGGGAAATTGTTGCAAGACACCACAGACATTCTGTAGTGTTCTTAGTCATTCAACCCTGAAGCAGAGGGAAGGTAGCGAAACAAAACCCAAAACAATCAAGCCACTTTGGGTTCCTTTAGGAGATAAAAATATTTTAAACAAACAAACGAAACTTTATCTTATTAACAGAGTGTATCAGAACCCAGTCAACCTTTGACAGAATATTCCTTAGCCTGGCTGTTCCTACCACTTTGCTGCTGCTTAGCCCATCCCTTTTTCCTGTTGTTCTTTTCAACTCCTTTTTTCACTATTTCCCACAGGGCAAGTAAATGTCTATCACCTGGCAACAGGACTGGCATTCACCTTCTAACTTTGTCTTTAGGTCATCCCAGCACATGTAGCTAATATCACCATCAAGTCAGTTTTTTAAAGATCAAATACTAATTGTATACCTTGTGCAAAACGAAGAAATGCAGTAAAACACTTCAGTTCCTTTCAAAGAAAAATTCTTGCATACTATTATATACAGTAAAAAAGTGAGGAAATGGTGTAAGAAAACGTAAGCATCTGAGAGTCATGATGTGTCAGGCAGTTTATCTTAAAACTCTCTTTCCCAAAGTGGTTAACATTTGATTATGGCCCTATAAGTATAAACCTTTTTTGCTTGTGCCCCTAGTGACTGGTATTCAGAAGCATGCTGCTTGTGGTCCTGAAAGCAGTAAAATAACTACCAGTGATAGCTTACCCACCTATAATTGATCTGTCCCTGTTAAACTCTTCTAAGATAGTGGCCATCACCACATTCTGTGCATTGAAGTCTGTCCTACATGAAGCATTATTTCAATTTTTCTTTCTTTCTTGAACACTCTGCCCTGTCCTAGTTTCATTAGACAACCTTGACTATAATGAGAGAAGGAAAAAAGTATCCACATTGTCCCAGACTCACATAAGTGTATTCATGCCATTACATCTCCCTCTTTTCTGAACTACCCCAACAACACCGTTCCCCTGCAGGGGAATTGTATCAGGCCCCTGGTCATTTTTCAAGGAGCCATTAAATGGTCATTTAAAAAGTACTGCAGTGCTGAAAGCTGACAATATTCAGCAACAAATAAAGATAAATTCAGAGTGCAACGCTGAGAAATCTACTGTTGTCTGTCAACACAGAAAAATTCTTAATATGTAAAGTTCTTAATATTCAATGCTTTTATGTAAGTCCACAATTCAGTTTCTGCCTGTTCCTTCTAGGAGTACCATAGTACTTGTCCTCCTGGTGTTCTGCATATGCTTCCTGGTGGCATGTATCATGTATCTACATGTCACACGAGTACAAGTAAGTGATCTTAAATACCATGATTTCTTATTCTGATGAAAAAGGGGTGGGTGTGGCTGGATGAAAAAGATGAAGAAAGTTTTAGAACCATAGAACCGAATATAACTGTGCAGTTATACTTAGTTGTGCTCCTGATGGGGAATTCTGGCTAGGGGGTTGGTGGAGGAAATGCTTCTTCTCTGTCAGGACACCCAAAAGGAGGAGAATGTTTCCTTTGTCTCACAACCATGCAGTGGGGGTGGGGGGGTGGAAACCTGCTGAGCATGCAGTCACCAATCATCAATGCCTATCCATGCAGTTATTCTGTTTCACCATCATCTGGCTGCTCACTAATTCCCCACCCCATCTTGAGCCTACCTATGCTGGACAGCCTTTCTCTCTGAGAAAGTCTTTTGAATCCCAGGTACAGAAACACATTTGTATATGCATTAACAATTTTCTTTTATTCGAATGGTGATATAAATTGTGGAATATCCTGATGAAGAATGTTTAGCTTTAATCAGTACCACATATCTACAAAGATAAACTTGGGATCACCAAAACTGAATTCTTGATCGTACAGCCAGTTCTGGCAATATGAAAGTGCACGAATATTAGGGACATCAAAAGGTTCAGGATGACATGTTTTGGTAGGAAAATATCCCAGAAGCAAAGCATTAAGATGCACCCTTGCCTCTCAATCTACTGCTTAATATTTTAGGATGAACAGCTGAATTAGAGAATTCTTCAAATGGGATATCTGTGAAAATAACATAGTTTCATGCAGAAAGTCATTCTGATGCATGAGAGAGAAAATGCAAATAATACTTCACATGGTGACAGAGCTTTTATAACAAAGATGATATTTGACTATTGACTGACTTTTAACCTGCCACACAAGGCAGGCTGCTTTCATGTCACAACGTGTACAACTTTGCAATTATATTCATGGTACTATTTTATTTTATTTTATTTATAGAGAACCCCATTAGTGCTATGCACTATTCTGGGCAGTTTACAACAAAATAAAAACACTATAATTATATATTGAATAAAACAGATGAACAAACCCACAAAAACTCCAAGAGGTATAAATTGCAAAATAAAACATGGAGCATGAGGCATATAAACAGAGAAAACAGTCAGGTTTGCAAAAAAATAAATTAGTAAGGAAAAATTCATCTCCATAAAGCAGTATTTTTAAAAGCCTTTTAAATGTTGGGAGGAAGGGGGCCAGGCACAGCTTTTCCAGGAGTTGGTTCTGAAGTGTTGGTGCCACCGCAAAGAAAGCCCTGTTTCTGGTGGATGATTCTCTGGCCTCATTGGAAGTGGCTACCTGGAGGAGCATTGCCTGTGAGGACCTCATGGAGTGGGTAGATGACCTTGGGGAAAGATGCTCCAACAGGTAACATGGTCCCAAACTGTGAAGAGCTTTGTTAGGTGATCATCAGAACTTTGAATCCGATCTGGGATGGAACAAGTAGCCGGTGTAAGTGAGCCAGGACTTTGGAAATGTGATCAAATTTGCTCACACCAACCACCAGTCCGGCCACTGCGTTATGAACCCACTGCAAACTCTGGATAAATCTCAAAGGGAGTCTCACATAGAGAAATTGAAATAGTTGATGCAGGAGATGACCAGTGCATGCACCAGAGTCTTGAGGTTTTCCTTGTCTAAGAAGGCATGGAGTTGGGCAATACACCTCAGCTGATTAAAGGCAGTTCTTGACATGTCTA